AAAATGGGACAAAAAGGCAACCCCATTTATAAAATGCCTGCACAGGACCAATAAAACTGGCCATAAGGAATATAAGCAAAATGGACCTCTCCTTCTCCCAGGCCCCAGTGCTGCATTGCTAAGAGGAACAAGGCCTTGCGACAGTGATTGTCAACTGGTGTGCCACGAGAGGATCTGAGGTGTGGTACAAAAATTGTACAAGATCATTAATTATTTTCCAAAGACGTTCAAAGCATAGTTAAGTATATTATCTGTTTTTCATTCTTTTTTTTTGATCAACATAATGTAAGTGTGGCACAAAAGTTTAAGTACAGGTTCAAGTGTGCAGTGAGGTAAAAGAGGTTCAAAAATACTGTCTTTCAAGGGTGACTCTGCTTGTATAAGTGAAGACAGCTGTTGAAAGGTATGTAGGAATGAGACGGTTTCTTGTTCTTCTTTGGACTGCTATGCAGACTATCAAATATTCCTAAAGAAATCTGTTAACATTCACTCTACTTTCTAACATTTTTTTATTGTTTGAGATTCATTGAGAGTACAGAGAATTAGGTTACACTGATTGCCTTCGTTAGATAAATTCCCTCTTATAATTGTGTCCTCCCCACCAAGGGGTATGCTATACACCATGACTGCCATCTCCCTCTTCCACTCCTCTCCCCACTTGTTGATTCCCATATCCCCACCCCACCTTATGTTAGCTCATCTACCACCTTCATAATAAAATTTAGTACATTGGATTCTTGCTTCTCCATTCTTAAGATGCTTTACTAAGAAGAGTGTGCTCCACTGTCATTCCAAGTTAAAACAAAAGGCGTAAAGTCTCCATCTTTTTTAACGGCTTAAGAATATACATATAGTGTAGCATGTTAATTCTTTTCTAATTGTTGGGCATTTAGGCTGTTTCCACATTTTGGTGGTTGTAAATTGAGCTGCAATAAATAGTCTAGTGCAAATGTCCTTATGATAAAAGGATTTTTTTTCCTTCTGGGTAGATGCCTAGTAATGGGATTGCAGGAACACATGTGAGGTTTAATTTGAGTTCTTTGAGAATTCTCCATGCTTCCTCCAAAAGATTATATTGGTTTGCAATCCCACCAGCAGTGTAAAAATGTTCCCTTCTCTCCACATTCACACCAGTAGCTACAGCTGTGAGACTTAGTGATATGGGCCATTCTCACTGGGGTTAGGTGATCTGACAGGGTAGTTTTGATTTGCATTTCTCTGATAATTAGGAATGATGAGTATTTTTTCATATTTGTTAGCTCTTTGTCTGTTTTTAGAGAAGGTTGTATTCATGTCTCCTACCCCCTGATATATGGGATTATTGGATCTCTTTTGTTGATTAATTTGAGTTCTCTATCAATTCTAGTCATCAAGCTTCTGACTGATATGCAAATATCTTTTCACATTCAGAGGGTTGTCTGTGTGCTTTGGTTGTTGTCTCCTTAGTTTTGACCTTTAGCTTCTGGGTCTTTACTTTGCTGGTGGTCCACCGTGATGGTCAGTGTTGAGAATAGGTCTAAGCATTTCCTGTAGAGCTGGTCTTGTGGTGAATTTCCTCATTGCTTGTATATCTGCAAAAGATTTGATTTCTCAATCAATTTTGAAGCTTAGTTTAGCAGGGTATAGAAGTCTGTGATGAAAATTATTTTGTTTAAGAATGTTGAAGGTAGATGACAATGTTACTCTGGCTTGGAAGGTTTCAGCTGAAAAGTTTGCTTTCATCTTAATGGCTCTTCCTCTATAGGTCAGTTGGTGCTTACTCCTGGCTGCTTGCATAATTTCTTTCATCTTGACTTTGTACAGTTTAATTACAATGTGTTTTGGAGAGGCTCTGTTTGAGTTGAGATGACCTGGGGTTTGATACCAATTTGAAAGGAGTATGTTGGGGTTTAAAGGAAAACTTGGTAAGTTTTCATTTATGATAGTTTCCAGGAGGGAAAACTATCCCTATTATTCATATGTTTGAAGGCTTCGTGGAGTCTTGTAGTTCTCTAAGTGCCTGTTCTGCTTTCTCTCTCTTCTTTTCTGCCTCTTTAAATACCTGTGTTAATTCAAAAACTTTATACTCTAGCTCTAAGATTCTTTCTTCTCCATGGCCTAACGCATTTTTTTAATTTATTTTAACAAAGGATAACTTTATTAAAGTAAAGTACTGGACATAATTTTAGAGGCCCCCACCCCCATCATCTCTCCTAGTTTATATCTTCATTGAGAAATTGTATGAGTTTAAGTTTACTGTGCTGCTATTTTGGCTCATCTTGATAATCCCTTCATTTCTGATTCTTCTTCTGGAACTTCATGATCATGTTCAGAGTCAGCCTCAGCAGTCTGATTTCTCCTGTTCAACCTGGTTAAAGCTGTGACTTTTCTCTGTTAGTCTTTGGCTGAGTGGATTTTGATGGTTGGGTTGGTTTTACACCTTGAGAAGAGTCATATATACTTTATTCTTTTCATCTTCATTTTGAAAAATAGTTGTAGTTGTTTGTGTTAGTATCCTGTGATGCTACGTCTTTTCACCAAATTTGGGACTTCTTTTTTCTAACTGAATCTTGATTTTTCCCAAAGTTTTCAGACATGTCCTACCTTTTACTTGCTCCAGAATCTCATTCTTAGAACCAGAAGATTTTTTGCAAGATTGCTACTGAGTTCTAAAGAACTCAAAGATTTTGTATAGACGTGAATTTCTGGTAAGCATGGACTTACTAAGATCTCACTGCAAATTTTTATAACCAAATTGTCATGTACTGTTAAGCCCTGATAATCTTGGGATTTCTTGGCTTGAGAATTTAATGCAATTGGTCATGTCAAATCTACAAGTAACTCAGCAACATTTGTGATATATATTTCAGCCAAAGGAAAAGATACAGGCGCATTTACCAGTGTTTGCAGAAGTTTGCAGTGTTTGGAAGAAAGGCTTCTTCAAAGCATTCCCGATGAGTTCTGCTTGCATAGGCAAACATGGGGAAGAACACGCACAGGCAATGTCGAAGTCGAACATCTTCTTCAGTCACAGGATTGTGCCATAACAAAATCAGATGATAAAGAACCCTGCTGCTGACCAAAGCCCAGAGAACATTAGCTTGGCTAGTCCTTCTGCAGCTGCTGTCCTAAGTTCAGATACCTCACTATCTAAGAAGTCAGAAAGCAGTTTCAGAACATTATTAGCTGTAGCAGTCTCTCCAACTTCTTTTGACTCTTGCTCACCATTTCTGTTCATTTCTGTAGCTTCACATTGAAGGGCGTTGATTTTTTTAGTTTTAAAAGGTTCCATCCCAAACATCATCAAGTGCTCAAAGATTGCCTTTAAAGCATTAATTTTTAGTGTGATATCATCAATTTGCAAAACCTGTAATAGCAGCACAAAGTGTTTACTTGCAAAATCTTGATTCTGCAGTCCACAACATCCCAAACATAAAACAGCCAGATTTCTCACTACGGGATGAACATTTGTTATTCCAGGAAGAATCAAAGCTTCAATGATCCCACTCATGGTTGCCCCTGTACCTGTTGAATTTGACATCTGCTTCATCAGTTCATAGCACAAAATAAGACACTTCTAAAGTGTTTCATCATCATTCTTCTCTATGTGGACGTCTTTAATTTCAAGTTATTCCATCTTTTTCAATAGGTTTATTTTGGCATCTTCTAATACTTTTATTTCTTCTTTTAATTCTGATGCCTGATTAAAATCCTGTACGGCAATGCATTTTTCTAAAGCTTCTTTTGCTTTAATAAGTTTAGTTTTTATTTCAGCCATCCTGAGTTCTTTCTTTCTTATATCAGTTGGATCATTCTTAATACCAACAATAACAATGGGAGCCCAAATCTCTGAAATAATTTCTGAAACAATTTATATTCTCTTATTATCTTCTACTACAATGATGTGGGGTAGAGATGAAACCAGAGATATTGGGGTTGTGAGTAGGGTAAGAATCTCCTGTAACATAGCCAGTTTTTTCTTTCCTCCTTCTTCATTGGTATAAAAAGATTTGATAAGGAATATCAATTTTAGAACTATGAACTTTTTTGTCATCCAATTTCCAATATAGGAAAAATCACTTTTGTGTTCCACATTAACAACTGGAATATTCTGGACATAACTCTATAAGTACTCTGCATATACTACAGGCTTTGGAAAAATCTGCTCTAAAAATTCTTCTCCTTTATCTCCTTTTGATTTCAAATATTCACAAAGAACATATCAATACAGAGCAATTTCAGGAGTTAATGTTTCCTCTGAGATCAACATTCTGCCATCATTGCTTTTATAGATTCCCGCCAGTTCATTGAGAGGAGTCACAGAAAATAAGGCATTGAGAACAGAGACTGCCACTTCAGAGGAATTCTCCACATCCAAACCAGGAAGCAACTCTTAAGATATTTCCCTCAGAGAAACATAGCCAGTTTTGGAGAAGATGCTTCTGCATAGCTTCTTTCATAACATCTGATCTGTCATTAAGACCTTGTTGAAGAAGCATTACTCTCTGAGCAATAGAGCTCTCATACGAAACTTTTCAGCTAAAACTTGATAAGCCAGCTTTCTGGCAGCCTCTTTCACATCCTTGGTGTGCCCTCCAATGTTTGGCAAAGTCATTGCTCTTGGTGCAGCACAAGATAACACTGCTTGCCTAACTTCTGGGTTTGAATCATTTTCAATCAAAGCAGCATATGCATTAACCACTGGGAATTCATCATCCTTGGGATTCTGAAGTCGTGAAAGCACCAGAACTGCCTGTATTCTCACATTTGGAATCTTACCTTTCAATATAACAAGCATGACTTCATTAATTTTATCAGACACATCATCATCAATCTGGGCATTTTCTGGCATACTTCCCAAAAGCTTGTTTATGAGCTGGCACACTTTAAATCTCGCTGCATTGCTGTTTGCTTTGTGAGACTTTAAGAGAAAAGTAAACAAGTAATTCAAAATGCCACTATCTTTCTCTTCTTCATCATCTCCCATATCTGATTGGTGAAATGAAGGAACAAACTTTGCTAAAAATATGGAACACTTCACAGATTTGTGTGTCATCCTTGCATGGGAGCCAGATAATCTTCTCTGTATTGTTCCAATTTTAGTATTTGTGCTGCTAAAGTGAGCATGGTCTAACCTATTTTTGATACTTTCTTTGCATCTTTATATTTCCTGATTGTCCCCTTCATTTCCTTAGCTCTGCCATATCCTTTCTATATTCTACATATCTCTGCTCCAACTTTTGGTTCTGTCTTTCCATTTTCTCATCCATTCCTTTTATTGTTGTTATCATTTATACTTTAAATTTCCTTTCTGTCAGATCCATTAATTCTTTATAGGTGGGTCTTCTGCAGTAGCTGCCTCATGGTCCTTTGTGGGAAATGCTCTGTTTTGGTTTTTCATGTTACCTAAATTTTTCTATTGATTCCTCCTCATGTGTTCTTTCTTCTTGTTCATCTTTTAGTCCTCCATTTTCCTTCTCACTGCCTCCTTTGCTTCAAATAACCCTGTCTTGGTGATTAGGTCTTGAAGTGGCCTCAGCCTGAGTCAAGCCAAACTATTCCTCCTGGCAACAAAATAGAAGTCCTTGCTCTTGATTATAATAAGTTGCAATATGTCACCAGGATGCCAGGTAGCACTATAGTTTTTTAGGAGACAGAGAGCACAGCTAGCAATCTCTATGGTCCTTATTCCAAACTTAGTTGCCTTTGGTGGTCACCTGTTTGTTTCCTTGGGATTCAGACCATGCCAGGTTGGGATCTTAAAGCTCACAAGAATCCTTCAGAGGCAAGTCTCACAGCGTCCCCTAACTCCAGTTCCTGTGGGATGTGGGAACCCCTCAGCCTATTGCAAGAGTAGAGTTGAGATTCTGGCAGACAGAATTAAGACAACCATGCTTTAGGTCTCTGCTAAGACCTTCTCATGATCTTCCCACAATGGCAGACCCCTGGCAATGAAGACCATCTCAGTATGCTGCGTTGCCAGCCACCAAACCTATGGTAAATCTACTCTGATTGGCATTCAAATATGGTTTCTGTATACTGTTTAAGTCCATCCACTCTTCCCAACTTTCCAGTCAATGCTCAGCTTTGCCCAACAACTGAAAACTCTGGAAAGGGTTCTTCCTGTCCTGGATCTCTGTGGGGGGCCAGCTGAACCTAGCCAGTCACAAACACTTGCTTAATTCATCAAATTTCACTGCTCCAGATTATACACTTTATCCAGCTCACTGCCTCCTCACTGTGCTCCCTGAGTTATGACTCTGAGTAATTCCCATGCCAGGTATGGCTGGGTTCTCTTTTTTTCCCCAGTCATTCTAGGAGAGCTCAGTTGAATGATCCTTGTGTTCTGCCATCTTGCTTTGTCCCCCCTCTCACTCTAATTTTCTTGAGACAACACTTTGAAAAAAAAATTTTCTTTTCTGAGATGGAGTCTCACTCTGTTGCCCTGGGTAGAGTGCCATGACATCATCATAGCTCATAGCAACCTCAACTCAAGTGATCCTCTTGCTTCAGCCTCCTGAGTAGCTTGGACTATAGGTGTCTGCCACAATGCTCACCTAGTTTTTCTATTTTTAGTAAAGATGGGGTCTTGCTCTTGATTAGGCTGGCCTTGAACCCCTGAGCATAGGTAATGTTCCAGCTTCCCAGAGTGCTGGGATTACAGGCATGAGCCCCTATGCCTAGTCTCATAGGAATTTTTAAGGAAGAGGAATAGTAGGCCTTCAAGAAGAGATGCTGAAATTTAATCCACAAACCTGGATTAAGCCTGAATTAAGACTATATGTTGATGAAGCATGATACCTGGTACCTGGCTTCCTTGCATAGAGAACACAGAACCTTTTATGAGCTGCTCATAGTCTGAGAAATTAGACAAATGGGAAGAAATAGACATTAGAATCTGGTAGTTGCTGTGTGGCAAGTTTGCACAGGAAGGGGCCAGACACTGACTGCCCTTAGTGGTTCACAGAGCACTATAAGTGCTTATTTGATCTCTCAACTTCTTCATCTAATATGGGGCTCCCTTGAGATTGTTTACAACATACAGGTGTTTCCTATGGGCCAGGCACCATTGTATATTTTTTTAACATAATTTTTCAAAGTTTTTATCCTCCCCCACCAATGCAAGCTGGAGGGGTCTGGCATTATTTCTATTTCCATTTAACCACCGAGGAGAAGGAGGCACAGAGGCATTTAGTCATTTGCCTAAAATCCCATAGCTACTGAGCAGTAAAACCAGGGTTTGGTTTCAGGATGTTCTCACAGATACAACATAGGTCCTGTTCTGTCTGCCTGTAACTGAGAAAAGGTGGCTGTCCCAGGGTCCGACACTCATCGTTGTGAGGTTGACCTGGTGAAGGAAAGAGTGAACCTGAACCTGTCCTTTGTCCCCCTCTAGGACATGGAGGAAGAAAAAATGCATCTGTTTCAAATTGTAAAGTCCTAAAGTTTATTATTATTATGTTTAACTTTATTATATATCCTAAATAAACCAAACGATAAAAAAAGATGGAAAGACTGAAAATCTAACTCTTTGTGGTGAGTTTTTCTGGTTCCAATCAGGAGTAGATCTTGCCATTGGGAGTTTGCAAAGCCCGTGCCAGGTCCCTCTCTGGAAGCATAGATAGGAAATCAGTGTCTAGAGGGAATTCCTGATGATCTTCATGGGCTGGGAACCCTAGCACACATGTGCTCAGGCACTGTCCTGTCCTGCATTTTCATCACTGACCTGGCAATTGCCTCTGTAGGACCTCCAGGATTCCTTGCACAGCAGCGTGCATGCCGTGCACCCAAACACCTCTCTTATTCAGCCTCACTTCTCCTAGCTCATTCCTTAGGCCCTGAGTCTCTCTGGCTTTACTAGGGCCCTTCACAGATAGGTCTGCATGGCCAAAAGCATCCATCTCTCCAGATTCTGCTCTGCTACCACCCCTAGTTCCCCAGTAAAGCTTTCCTTGTGAAAATTTTAAGTTTTGTTTGGTTGCTTCCCTTGGCAAGAAGAACAGCAGGTATTAGAAGTAAAGGTGTAGAGAACTTACTGACAAAATGATCACCATGAAATCGTCAAGTTATTACTGAACATGTTTAGGGTGGAGGGCTTAGAATTTAATGTAAAGTGTGGATTAGCTTATCCCAGTTAGTAGAACCTGCCCTTAATAAACTTTTTATATCTCAATTATTTTAACTGTGTTTTCTTAGGTGGAATTGTACATTCAACTCAACAGTGATTAAAGTGATTAAAGTTCTCTGAATTTGGAGTAGATGCTAAGAACAAATCAACATCCTAATAAAATGAAGGAGGAAAGAAAGCCTCTGCTTTTGATGTAAAAATGGTCTTAGGAGGAATCAATATCTCCTCTATCCAGAATATAGATCTGGATTATTTTTTCTTCCCATTTATTTTTATAGGGCCTGATGTTAAGTGTGAAATCTGATTTATACCCATGAATGTCATAAAAGTGACTAAAGTATACTCTTTAATTTTTCTCGTGAAGCATTTCTATGGGCTGGAGCATATACTATGAAGGACATGTGGAAATAGATGTACATAGCACTGAATCACATTGCAGTATCATTTTTTCCCAATTCTCTTCCATATTTCTGATTGCTTCATGGGGCAGGAATCTGAGGCTAATACATCTATCACAACTTTAACACTGGTGAGTCTTTCTTTTTAGCTAAGAGAGCAGGCTTCAAGCTCTAACTCTTTAGTAGGCAAAAATATTTAACGAAACATATCTTGATTCAATTTCATTTTGTTTTTTATAGTTACCTATCTGGGGCCATTGGTGATAGCTTTCTACTTGAAGCAGTGATACAAAGTTTCCTTTTGAAAAATCCTGGCAATTTGCAAGGTAATTTAAAGAAAAATATTGAGTCACTAACATTGGCTTAATAGATATGGCAAACATCAGGCAGTAGGTCATGAGTGAATAAAGTGTGATAAGCTGATTGAGAAAATGTAGGATCATTCATTGATTCATTTTCCACACCTGAAAGTGCCCCTCTTGAGATCTTTAAAGCACACATCATGTTCGCCATTCCTCAAGAGTCTGTTCTGCTGTCTTGGACACTAGTTACATATAGGTGTGTGTGTTGGATGCTCATTGAGGGCAGGGATCATCTTTTCCTGATCTTGACTGTTTCTGCCTCTCAGGATCCAGCAAACACCTGCCAGGTGCTTAGAGCACCTGAGTGAAGCACTTTCATCTACAGCCTGCCTCTCTAGTGCAGGTCATTGTCCCTCAATGCATGCCCTTAAGCCAACCCAAATTTACATAAGAGAGACATTAAGACCATTCAAATCTGAGGTTCCTGAAGGTTAGAGTTCTATGGCTATTTGGCACAATGGAAAACTAAAATTAGACCCGCTTTAGGTCTATTAGGGGGAGTTGGGTCCAGTTTGGCAGAATTGAAGGTTTCTATGAATAGGCAAGGGAATGACAGCCTCTTATAACAATTGAGAGAAGAACCTAAAACAAACTCCATCTTAAAAAGTGAGATGTTGTATGGTACTAGGGAGGGATGAACCATTTGCTTCCAAATACAGAGCCAACTCATTAGTTTATAGACACTTGCCTTTCTTTACACTAAAATTGTGTCTTCTGGGTCTGTAATAACAGTTTTTGAGTGAGCAATTGATAAACATCAGATGTCAACACAGTGAACCAGAATCCTGGACTTAGAATCAGAACTGAATACACATCAAAGGATGATCCCCTTGGTTTTCTGTGCTAATGCATAGAGAGGAAAACAGGCCTAGAAATAAGAAAGGATCTCACAGCTAGTTACTAGCAGTAATAATGGCAGAACGTGAACTGGGGCCATTATTCCCAATGTTGCATTCTTCTTGGCACCCTGATATTTTCTCTTGCTATATAGATTACTGTTTATGTTTCAGTTTATTTTAAATTCAATTCATTTTTACTTGCAGCATGTAGTCTAGTACTTTACTAGTCAAAGTGTGGTCTTACCTGGAAATTAAAAAAAAAAAAATACAGAACTTTGGACCTTCCCCTAGACCTTCTGAATCATAATTTGCATTTGAACAAGATTTCTAGATAATTTGTATTCCATTAGGTTGAGTTTTTTTTTACCTAATTACCTCCTCTAATTCAAAAAGTGTTCTG